TTGAATACACTTATTCTCATTAAATATTGGTAAATAAATAATTAATCAATTGCTTGATAGGTTTTTTTTACTTTTGCATGTGTTTTTAAAGGGTTTTCAAAAAAATAATGTTCAATCATAAATAATTAAATATTATTATTTTATCTCTAAAAATTATTTTAGGTGTTATTATTTTGAAATTTAGAATAAATTTTAATATTTTTTTATTTTGATTGGAGTAAGAATCGATTGCTTCAAGGTATGATAGATCATTTCTTCTCGATAGGAAATAATTAAATATTTTTATCTTTCATCCAAAATTTCAAAAAATGTTATTTTAGGGGATCGTAAATCAAATTAATTTTGAACTTGTACATTTTACTGCAAAGACAATTAATTAATTGACTAGGTACCGATTTAGGGCGATGTGGGGGTGTTAATCCTTCCCCACGCGTAACAGACTCCCGAACTCATTTTCTGGTAACGCGAACTTAAATTTGTTGTTTTAATTAAAATTAATTTTTATTTAAAATAACAAAACGTTTTTGGGTGCCCAATCACACCCTAATCAAAGATTGGTGGCGACTCCTCGAACCATATTTTTATCGTAAAGGAATTTCCAAATTTTTGAAACAAGAGGTTTTTAAATAATCACATTCACTTTTAATTTAAAGTTGTAATCTTAAGAGAATAATTAAAAATGACGTGGTTTTCAAAATCTCACCTCAGGGAAAAAAACCGTTTCGACAGCTTGGCGACTCTGCTGGGGACATAATTTTTAGAGAGTCAGGCCGATAATTGATTAATTAATTGTCTTTGCAAATAAAAAAATACAAGTTCGTTCTAATTTGGTTTTTGATCCCTTGTTTTGTTTTAAATAAGTTTTGTTTGCATTTTGACTTTTAATTTACTTAACCACTAAATAGTTGTACTGATCTGTTTGCTAATGCTGTCAGATTAAATAATTGTTCAGGGTCTTGAGTTTTATGTTTACTGTTGTTTGCTTAGTTTCGCTTTTCCTCACACACTGCACAACTGCATTGGCATAACATGAGCTAAAACCCCGCTCCGTCCTATTTAAGTAGGAGTAAGTAACTACTCCCTCGTGTGGGATAGTGAAATGCTCCTTGGGCTCACACCTTATGATCCTCGTGAGGTTTTCACCTCTGCAATGACATAAGGAAGTGTGTCCCCTCAAATTGAACTCGATCTGAAAGCCTGTGATGGGCCAGGATTAAGGGTTCGGTAGCCCAAGAGGGCACCGGCAAAGGATAATTCGAGGACCCCTTACTTTAGAACTAAACCCAGCATGTAGTAAACTTAGAACCCAAATACAACCTTACCCAGACTATATGGTCTGATGAGGAGAGTACACAAGAAAAAGCTTATTTGGGCATTCTTTAGTGATATTTTAAATTCTATGTGAACTAGAATCATGCGGTTAGGTTTAATTTCTTAGATAAGCATGCGAACTAGATAGTATGAGGTTAGAATGTTCTATAAACAAAGTATATGGGTAGAAATCATGACTGGGTAGGATCTACTAAAGCATGATTGGGTAGCTAACATGTGGGGTAGGTTTTATCGATAAATTGAATTATGTTTAGTCAATTCATTTATGATTACTAACCGATTTTCTTTCTTTTTGTTTACTTTATCCTCATCTTGCATTGCACTATTCATTTCATTGGTGTTGATTCATGACTGATGTCCATATAGAAGACTAGTATTATGGAACGAATGATTCAAAAAGTAGAGGACAATACAGACGTCTTGATATGGTCCGAGTAGTCTCAACTAACAAATGGAGACAGTTTATCACCAGGGTATATATCAGAGCTGAGAGGGTATACTCACATCAACGTTTATCAGAATGATCTGAATGAACTGAAAGAGATTTGGGGAAGATGGGAAGCGTCCGATAAGCAGTTGTTCTATCAACTCCATGGTGACATTTCATATCTCATTGATATCCCGATTGATCGGAATTTGTTTAGAGCTCTGGCTCAGTTTTGGAATCCCGTATATAGTTGTTTTACATTTGGCCGAGTAGACATGACGCCTACTATAGAGGAGTATCATGCCTTGATTCGCTGTCCGAGGTTCCATGTAGACAAAGTATACACTAAACCCCCAAATACTCATTCCTTTAAGAAGAAACTTATTCTGATGACTGGCATGAGCGAAGAATGGGTTATGAGAGGCATAAAAAAGAAAGGAGACCGTGAATGCATTACTTGGAATTTGATTGACTGTCATTCTGATCGAAGAAAAAAGATTGCATTCTTTGCTCTAGGTATCTATGGATTGGTCATTTTCCTGAGAGTTCTCGGACATATTGATGTATCAGTGGTTGACATGTTTGAAAGACTGGATAGACATGTGGATCCTGTTCCAGCTATTCTGGCAGAAACATTTCGTTCCCTGAGCTCTTGCCGAAGAGAAGGGGAAGGACGATTCATAGGTTATGCACCATTATTGCTAACCTGGATCCTTAGTCATTTCAAACACGTCGAGAGAGTACCTGGTCGGGTCTTCCTAGATGGTTTTTCACCGTTGAAGGATTTCATTTCTCGGTAGTGGCCTGGGGGTTTTACTGAGGAAAAGTGGATGATCATTTTCAAAAGTATCCGAGACAGTGACATTTTATGGCGCACCTCATGGAATATCTCATCCGACATATTGTATCGATGTGGAGACAGAGATTGGGTTCCATTACCTGGTATTTGCGGATCTGTAGGGTATGCCTCATTACTGGTTTCCTGACAATTTGGGTCGAGACAGTTTATTCCGGAAAAAAGGGAGTTATCTAAGTCTGAGTTCGCATTCAGAGGAGAACTGTATAAGAATAAAGTTAAAGGGGTCACTGATGCTTGGAGACATACCCATCGGGTAAATCTCTTTACTTTTGAGTCAATACTATCTTGAGGATACGAGGAGTGGAGAAGCAACCGAGTCAATAATAATATTCCAATAGGCAATCAAGAGAATATCCAATCTATGGAAGAACACCTCAGGGTGATCCCGTCTCCGCTCGAGCAAGCCAGGCTTGATTTTGAGGTAGAAAGGAAATAATGGAGAGTAACTTTGAAAAAGCTAGAAGATGAAGTGTATCAAAAAGGGCTGGAGATTGACATCCAAAAGAGTCGGGCTTATCAGATTGAAAAAATGGAGAAGCAACTTAGATTGGATTTCAATAACCTCCATTTATCATACCAGCGAATGATCAAGGATTAGGCATCTGCTAGCTCTAGTAAGTCTTCTGCTGAATGGAGACAAGAAGTGGCAGGACTGAAAAGAGAAGTTGGGGAAAGTAGTGAAGAACTCAAACAGAGCAGACATCAGGCAAAACTACTCTCGAGAGACAAAAATGCCCTTGAACAACAACTGCAAGAGAATCAGACCCAGAATAAGAAATTAAAGAATAGGGTCTTGAGCTTAAAGACTACTTTGTGACGATATCGAAGTCGAGAAAGTAGTTCACATGCTGAAGTGGAAAGAATGATGAAGTGTGCGAATGAACTCGAGGCCTTAGTTCAAGATTTGAAAAGAAGAGCAAATGAACTTCCATTGGTCCCTTATGAAGGAGTTATGCAATGGCGCTATCATTGGGAGCAGACTCAGTGGAGAGTTAAGAAAAGGGAGGATCTCATTGTAAGATACCTACAGGAAGATCAATGAGTGGCTCAGAACTTGGTTGACCTGTCACAGGAAACTGATGATGTGATTGAAGAACTGGATCCAGAGGCAGAAGAAAACCAGAAGATTGTGGAATTACTGGGACATATTCAACAATTAGGAGAGATAGCTTTGTTGTATCTGTGATCTGTTTAATCCTTGTAATTAAGCTTCGTTTCCTATATAAAAAGTTGTTCTAAGGAATCATCCCAGAATCAACACCTTGTATTGCAATCATTTTGCATTCATATTGCATCTACATTGCATTTCCTTTTATGAATAACATTATAATCACATTTTTCACACCTCAGTAATAAAACACCATGATTAATAAAAAGATTATGTGGCAGAATACTAGACAAATATAAGCATTCGTACAACACACGGAAAAAGGCAATGGATGATAGAATTATCAATATAGAGAAGGTTCAAGCTGAAATGCAAGAGAATCTAAAGAAAGCACAAGATGATATGCGTGAACAGATAATGAAGGCTCAAGATGACATGATGGTAAAGTTAGTTAGTTTGCTACAGGGAAATAATGTGGTCCAAGGAGAGGCTCCAGTTATCGATCCTGCTGCCGAGGAACCGTTATATCCCCTGGCTTTACACCACCGCATGTCCACGCACAACAAGCCACGACCGTCCAACCAAAAAAAATACAAGTGAACCTAACAGGCTCTTCGACAAACCTGCAACCAATTGAAGATATCCCTGATTTGGATGAGGAAGACAAAAAAGAACATGATAAGGAGATTAAGAAAGAATGGGAACAAATGAAACATGAATTCCGAGCTATGAAAGAAGATGCTAGCCTATATGGAATCGACGCCAGAGAACTAAGTCTGGTCCCTGATTTAGTACTGCCACCGAAATTCAAAGTTCCAAACTTCGAGAAATTTGATGGCACCAATTGTCCTTCTGCACACATTACCATTTTTTGCAGAAAAATGACAGGCTATGTGGGAAATGATCATCTATTAATTCATTGTTTTCAAGAAAGTCTGGCAAGATCAGCAATTTGTTGGTACAATCAGCTAAGTCAGGCTCAAATTAAATCTTGGAAGGATTTAGCTAAGGCTTTTCTAGAGCAATATAAGCATGTAAAAGATGTGAGGCCGAACCGAATTTTGTTACAGAGTATGGAAAAAATATCTAACGAAATATTCAGGCAATATGCCCAAAGGTGGAGAGATGTGGCTGTGCAAGTTCATCCACCATTAGGGGAGGAAGAAACCAATATGTTTTTTATAAATACTCTAAGGGCCCCGTTCTTTGGACATCTCATTGGAAATTCATCCAAGAATTTTGCTAACATAGTTAATGCAGGAGAAATGATCGAGATGGCGATCAAAAGCGGGAAGCTAGACGGGGGAGAATCTAGCCGAAAGCCTCCAGCGAGAAGAAAAGATAATGAGGTCAGTAATGTGAAGAAATATGATTCTAATAACATTACAGTATCTCGACCACCAGCCACTACGTCGTCAGCATTAAATCCTGTCCAGCAAGGAGTGAAAGAACCAAGACAGGAAAGGGAAAGGGTTCAATTTGACCCTATCCCCATGACCTATAAAGAATTATTCCAGATCCTGTATGACAAACATGTGGTGTCACCTTACCACACTTCACCAATACAACCTCTTTACCCAAAATGGTTTGACATCAATGCTCAATATGAGTATCATGCAGGGGCATCGGGGCATTCAATTGAAAACTGCCTGGCCTTTAAAAAGTTGGTGTAGAGATTAAGACAAAGAAATGTTATCAACTTCGGTGACAGTGAGCAGCCTAATGTGGCTCAGAACCCACTGTCGAACCATGCAGGAACAGGGGTTAATGTTGTTATTGAAGGAAAAGGGAATGAAGTCATAACCAAAGTCAATGAAGTGAAGTCACCCATGCATTGGGTATGGGGGCAAATGGTCAAAGTAGGCTGGTTGACCTTTAATGCTAACGAGAATAAGCATGCTTGCACCTATCACCGTTGCGAGGATCATGTCATTCAAAACTGTGACGAGTTCAAGGCCTTGGTTCAAAGGCTGATGGATAGTAAAGACATGGAATTTTACCATGAGGCTACGAAAAAGAAAGAGATTGAGATTTGTGCTTCCGAAGACGCATCCAAGGGAGTTTACAATACTAACTACCCTTTAGTCATCACACCGAAAGCTCATATTATAGAAAGGTTAATCCCAAAAGTGATGATCATGCCTCCGTCGTCCTTTCCTTATAAAGACAACAAGCAGGTCCCTTGGAGGTATGAATGCCAAATAGAGAATGTTGAGAGTTCAGAAGCTGCTAAGAAAGAGGTGGATAAGGTAGGCCACTTTACCAGAAGTGGGAGATGTTATTCTCCTAACCAAACCAGTGAACCTGAGAAAAGAGCGGCCCCTGATAAAGGAAAAATGGTCGAGATAATGATGAAAGATGATGAGTCAACAATTAATGAGACGGTAACAGAGAATGAGGCTGTAGAGTTTTTAAAATTTTTGAAGCATAGCGAGTACAGCATCGTCGAGCAACTACACAAGTTGCCAGCTCACATCTCAATCATGTCTCTACTATTAAGCTCTGAGGCACATCGAAATGCATTGTTGAAAGTTTTGAACCAGACTTTCGTACCAAAAGATGTGTTAGTGGAAAAGATAGATCGACTGGTTGCAAATATTCAGGCGGATAATTTTATCTCTTTCTCTGATGATGAGATCCCGTCCGGAATGATGGGCAATCCTAAAGCCCTGCACATTACCATCAGGTGCAAGGGACATGTGTTATCGCGAGTACTAATCGAAAATGGCTCTACCCTGAATGTGATACCAATAGTGACCTTGAAGAAATTGTCGGTTGATAGTACACACATAAGAAATTGCCAAAGCATTGTTCGAGCTTTTGATGGAACAAAGAATGAGGTACTGGGGAAGATCGATATTCCTTTAACCATATGCCCATCAACCTACGAGGTTGAATTCCTTGTAATGGATATAATGCCTTCCTATAACTGCTTGGTAGGAAGACCTTGGATCCATCAGGCAGGAGTTGTGCCATCCACTTTGCATCAAAAACTCAAATTTGTAATTAAGGGGAGACTGGTATGCCTTAATGCTGAGGAAGATATCATTGCTTCCATATCTACTATCGCTCCATATGTCGAAATAGATGAAGATACGGTCGAGTGCTCTTTCAGAGCCATGGAATTCATTAATGCCACCTTTGTTGCCGAAAGAAAGAAAATTCCGAAGCCTAGGCTATCTAATTGAACCAAAATGGAACTGAAAATGACTATGGGAAGAGGAGCCAAGGTTGGAAGAGGGCTGGGAAGCCGCCTACAGGGAAATATTAGTCCAGTTTTTCCTGGTATTAAGAGAGATTGTTTTGGTCTTGGATATCGCCCGACCTTAAATGAAAAGTTGAAAATTGTTCAAAAGAGCCAGGAAAGGAGGAAAGCCAGGTTAGTCGGGAAAGATATTAAATGGGAACCCATGAATTTCCCATTGTTGTGTGACACCTTCATATCTGGGGGTCATATGTTTCAGGAGGGTCGATAATCAAAAGAGTCTGTTATTGAAAATACCCTGAAGGATTTGGGCATAAATGTGATATCAGAGGAAGGAATCGAAGACGGAAGGGCTATGGGCATCTACCCCGTACCACCAGGCTTTGTGCTAAACAATTGGACTACAGAAGAATTACATGTAGTTTACAAAACTATTTCAGAGTAATGCACAAAAACTTTCCCTATTGTCTAAACCCTGAGGCAATAGGTGATGTCTTGTAAGGGGTTAATATATTTGTTTTTTATTTTAATAAATGATGCATTCGTGTTAATTCACGAAATGGAAAACATCATCCTTTGCATTTTTTCACGTTATTTATTATATATTATTATTTCATTCTATTTTGATATGGGATAGATCCTCCTGTATTTGTATATGTATATATATCTTCTCGTTTGTTATTCTTTCAGGACCTCCGGTATCAATAGTATGAGTGCTGATGACTCTGACACGAAGATAGATTTCGAGCTGCCCATATGTCAAGGGGAAATTAAAGGTTATGATAATGATGAAAGAAGTGACTTAACTTCTGAACTACTAAAAATGGTAGAGAGAGAAGATAAACAAATTATGCCTCATGAAGAGCCCATTGAGATCTTGAATTTAGGATCAGAGGAGGATAAAAAGGAGATAAAGATTGGCACCATCATATCTGCTGAGGGACGACAAAGTCTGATTCAGCTGCTTCGAGAGTACAGAGATGTGTTTGCTTGGTCATATGAGGACATGCTAGGGTTAGATACTGAGTTAGTGGTACATAAATTGCCAATAAAGCCCGAATATAAACCGGTACAACAAAAGCTCAGAAGAACGCGACCTGAAATGCTGCTTAAAATTAAAGAAGAAGTAAAGAAGTAATTCGATGTTGGATTCTTGAAAGTAGCTATGTATCTGGAATGGGTAGCAAACATTGTTCCAGTACCAAAGAAAGATGGAAAAGTTCGTATGTGCGTCGACTACAGAGATCTTAATCAGGCCAGTCTGAAAGATAATTTCCCTCTGCCACACATAGACACCCTGGTGGACAATACGGCTGGAAACTTTCTATTTTCATTTATGGATGGGTTTTTAGGATACAATCAAATAAAGATGCATCCAGATGATAAGGAAAAAACTACGTTTGTCACCATGTGGGGTACGTTCTGTTACAAGGTGATGCCGTTTGGGTTAAAGAATGCAGTGGCAACCTATCAAAGGGCCATGGCAACACTATTCCACGACATGATGCACAAGGAAATAGAGGTATATATCGATGATATGATTGTTAAAGCTAAAACAGAGGAAGAACACATCGAGAATCTGAGGAAACTTTTCCAAAGATTAAGGAGATGCCAGTTAAAACTCAATCCAAACAAGTGTACCTTCGGGGTAATATCGGGAAAACTCTTGGGGTTTGTAGTAATCAAAAAAGGGATTGAAGTAGATTCTGACAAGGTCAAAGCTATTCAGGATTTACCACCCCCGCAAACACAAAAAGAAGTTCGAGGATTTCTGGGAAGATTAAACTATATTGCCCGATTTATTTCGTAATTAACTGAGAAGTGCGATCCCATTTTTCGCCTTCTTCGTAAAAATAACCCAGAGGTATGGAATGATGATTGACAGGGAGCTTTTGAAGCAATAAAAGGATATTTGTAGAATGCTCCAGTATTAATGCCACCAATATCCAACAAACCATTAATCCTCTACTTGTCAATCTTTGAGAATTCAATGGGGTGCGTATTAGGGCAGCATGATCAAACTGAGAAAAGAGAAAGAGCAATTTACTACCTCAACAAAAAGTTTACTGATTGCGAGACAAGGTACTCACCAACAGAAAAGTTGTGTTGTGCTTTAGTTTGGACAACCCAAGGCTCAGACAATATATGTTGTATCACTCTACTTGTATCATATCTAAACTTGATCCTCTGAAATATCTAATGGGTGTACCTGCTTTATCTAGAAGATTGGCTCGTTGGAAAATCTTATTGTCGGAATTTGATATCCAATATGTAAGCCAAAAAGCAGTTAAAGGAAGTGATGTGGCCGATTTCATTGCAAGTAGGGTTTTTGAAGAGTATGAACCACTGAATTTCGATTTTCCAGATGAAGATTTAATGGTTATTTCAATAGAGGAGGCAGTTTCCTTTACTAATGAACAGTGGAAGATGAATTTCGATGGTGCCTTTAATGCTTTAGGGAACGAGATTGGGGCAATTCTCGTCTCTCCTTTTGGAAAACACTATCCTTTCACCAGCCGATTGAATTTTGATTGCACAAATAACATGGCCGAGTATGAAGCATGTATTATGGGTCTTAAAGCTGCCATTGAGCGTAAAGTGAAAATACTCGAAGTATACGAAGATTTAGCCCTAATAATTTATCAACTCAGAGGTGAATGGGAAACAAAGGATATGAAGTTGGTGGAATACCGTAAGTTGGTCCTAGAGCTCATTAAAGAATTCGAGAGAGTGACATTCTATTAACTTCCCAGATAAGAGAATCAAATGGCGGATGCTTTGGCCACTTTGTCAACAGCCTACAAAGTCAATGAATATTCAAGCATGATGCCTATTACGATGGAAGCTTACGGGTATCCAGCCCATTGTTATAGCATAGAAGAGGAAGAGGATGGAAATCCTTGGTATTACGACATCCTACGATACATTAAATATCAAAGCTACCCTGAACATGCCATTGAGATTGACAAAAGAACTATTCGAAGAATGGAGGCAGTATATATGCTTGATGGTGAGGTCTTGTACAAGAAAAGTTATGATCAAGTCTTGTTACGGTGTGTGGATGCCAAAGAAGCTAGAACGATAATTAAGGAAGTGCATAAAGGAATATGTGGTACACATGCTAATGGACATACAATGGCTATGCAAATAATGAGATTCGAATATTATTGGTCAACTCTGGAAACTGATTGTATCAATTTCTCTAGAAAATGTCACAAATGCCAGATTTATGGAGATAAGCTCCACACCCCTCCTCATCCATTACATGTAATGACTGCTCCATGGTCATTCTCTATGTGGGGCATGGATATCATTGGGCAAATTTTACCCAAAGCTTCTAATGGCCATCGTTTCATATTTGTGGCAATAGAGACTATTTCACTAAGTGGGTAGAAGCGGCCTCCTATGCAAATGTCACTGAGTCAACAGTTTGCAAGTTCCTGAATAGAGAAATTATTTGTCGGTATAGGCTACCAGAAAGGATCGTCACTGACAATGCCTTGAATTTAAATAATAAGATGATGGAGTCAGTATGTAAACAGTTCTAGATTAAACATCATAATTCCACCACTTATCGTCCAAAGATGAATGGAGCGGTAGAGGCAGACAATAAGAACATCAAGAGGCTCATACAGAAAATGATTGAGACTTATAGAGACTGGCATGAGAAGCTACCATTCGCTCTGTTTGCCTATCGAACTTCAGTGAGGACGTCCACTGGGGCAACTCCGTTTTCTTTAGTCTATGGGATGGAGGCTGTATTACCCATCGAGGTTGAGATTTCGTCACTACGAGTGTTGTCAGAGGTTAAGTTAGATGAAATAGAATGGGTGCAAGCTAGGTATGATCAATTGAACCTGATTGAGGAAAAAAGATTAAAAGCTATCTGTCATGGGCAAATGTACCAGAAACGTATGATAAGGGCACATAATAAAAAGGTTCGTCCATGAAAGTTTCAAGAAGGAGACTTGGTGCTAAGAAAGATTTTGTCAATTTAGAAAGACTTTCGAGAAAAATGGATGCCAAATTGGGAAGGACCTTATGTGGTAAAGAAGGTCTTTTCTGGAGGAGCTTTGATCCTCACCGAGATGGATGGACCAGAGTTACCTAACCCTGTGAATGCTGATGTAGTCAAGAAGTATTTCGCCTGAAAAAAATGAAAAAGATAAAAAATTAAAAATGAAAGAAAAAAATGAGAAAAAATAAAAGGAGGGTTCAAGATGAAAACTCGTAAAGGGCGTCTTGAAACCAGAGAATGTCTCAGGTTGAAAACCCGTAAAGGGCGGCTTGAGAATTGTGTAAATTCAGAATTCGTGCATGGTGGAGCTGAATTAGTTGGATAACCAGAAGGTAAATGAGATTCAAACACTGGCTTATGGCAATCAACAGTCGAGAATTTGGCAGTATAGGGGGAACTTCATACCCTTACGCATTACCATAATCCTCAATATCCCCTTGACAAAAGCTATACTCGGGTCCTCTTACGGCGTGCCAGTTCAAAACCATTCGTACTATTGATGTCTGATGACACCTACTGTATTTTCTTTTGATTATTCCCTTTAAAAATTTGCCATATATTCACCCAAAAACTTTTTATTTATAAATAAAAAGATGTTTTTAATCGTATTGTAAGCATCCTGATTAAAAATAAAAACATGTAGATTAGCTCGGGAAATATGAGATCATTGTGCATTATTGTACAAAAAGTTTTGGAAAATACAGATATTCTGAATCTGAAAATGGTTTTAGCATAAGGCTTATGTAATATCAGACCACAAGAAGTTAAAGCCTTGAGATACACGCGATTGCTCAACAATGAGGGATAACCAAATAGGTTTTGTCACTGATTAAATAACGAGTCATGAGAAGCACATGGGTTCAAAGAGTAAGGAGAATCAGAGTCAGGCTCAACCAAAGGTTTCTAATTAGGGTTTTCGATCGAGATGAATTGCTGTTGATTTTTTTATGCCCAAATCAGTCTGA